TAACACAGGAAACCTCATCCTATTTTCATCACCCCCAACGGAAACCAGCCAGAAGCTCTGAGAAGCCAACTAACAGGATGCAAAGAAAATAATCCAGAAGGGGGGGAAAAAAACCCTGCAGTCCTCCACTTACGGCCTTATATTGAGCCCAACACTGATGTCATTAACTGAGACATAAGTTAGGGTTAAGCTACGCAAGTTATATAACTGAGACACTGCAGCCGTCGTAAGTGTGAACCAGCTGTCAAGTGTTCTGAATTTTGATCATGTAACCATGGAGATACTGCAATGCTCCTAACTGTGAAAAATGGTCATTACGTCACTTTTTTCAGTGCCGTGGTAACGTTGAACGGCCACTAAATGAACGGTCATAAATCGAGGACCGCCTGTACTAGACTGCAGCGTCGGCAGCCTCCAGCCCAGAGCCAAGCATGTTAAGCGGCCACATATAAGAGCAATAAGGTCAACATTCAAAGTGGATTAAAAAGTCCATCTACATCTATTGCCTTTCTCGAATGTTCGAATAAAATAAATCAGATTCCTCCGTTACTTTTAAGATAAATGTAAATGCCCTGGAGGGAATATGAACGAATAGGTTCTCTGGATGTTGCGGTGCTTCTCAACCTGTGGCCCATGGAGCCCTGAGGGGGCTGCGGTGCTGTCCCAGGGGGCCTGTAGAAACTTAAAGAAATGCTGTGATTTAACTCTTGAGCTGAGCCCTGGGGGCCTCGGGGGCCACAAAAGGCCTTTGGAGGGGGGTCCGTGGTGAAGAAGAGTTTGAGAACAGATGTCGTGCAAAAAAGAGCGTGGACTAATTGTCTAGGTGAGACATAATCTCTGCGTGGAGAGACCAATTAATATCACGGCTTGTCCAGACGTATTTTTAGTGTCCCCGAGATCAGCTCTGCTAAACCTCAGACATTTCCATCACGGCGAGCTAAGCCTTCTTCCATCCACTCTGTCTCGGTGTCCACGGAAAAGATAGACAAACGGCTCTTTAACAACCAGACTTCCACCAAACATGAAATAACGTGAAAATGTATTCCAAAATGACCGAAAGAATTCTAACACAGAAGTCAGATGAAAGTGTGGATGTGGAACACCGAATAACGTATCCCCCAAAGGTGTAAAATTCCTAACGCTACAAATGCGCCCAACTGCTTCCAAGACCGCAAATTCGTAGACAAAAGCTGGCCGTGTAAAGGAAAGCATACCACATTCTCTGGGAGAATTTGCAAAGTCGTTTTCAGCTGGTCAGCCGGAGACAAAGTTTCTGGGAGGTACAGCGCTCTGGATAATATAAGCAGCGAAGTTGGGATTTCTTGATTCAGATGCAAGTCCAACCACTGCAATTAAAAGATAGAATATTAGAAGTTTTTGGTTTGATGCAGAGACCATACTAAAGCAATTATCCCTTTAAAAGAAGGCCTTTTGGGGGGAGGGAGGGGAGTGTTGAAATTAGATATTAACTGGCAATATTGTTTCTAAGTGGGACACACAAAATGGGAGATACAATAATTAAAAACTGAAATAGAGGTACTGTATAATTTGCCCCAGAGCAACATCTCTTCTCAAAGTAGGGTTTTTGGATAGCACAAGATCGTGGTTGGAAAAATATTAGCAGTTATACTATACTACATAATTCAAATATTACTGAAAACAGACCCACAAAGGACAGAAATTATCAAGTCCAGGGTGCCAAAAACTATGGCAATCTAGCTGTTCCACAAAGTTCTAAATTCGGAGGGGGGGGGGAGTATTAAGTTGCTAGGGATACCATCATCCTGAGTATTCCATTGTGTTTTTATAGATTTCATAAGCGAGAGTTTGTGAAAAGTTTTAGCATGCAATGCAAATTCCCAAAATTACCAGCAGAGCTCATTCCTTTGATAAAATCTCCTTCCAGATTTGATCAAAGGACGAGCATCAAAATAGGGATCGGAATTGTCAAGCAGAGAGACAGAACTATATTCTCTGGGTTATTGCTTAAAAATCTGAATGTCTGCAGGAGCCAGGCCTCCCCCAGCAGAGACAGAAAGTTTGGGGTGTTCCCTTCAATAAGCAATGTGTGGTGTTTTTTTCTCCCATTCTGGCTTTAAAGATGCTTGTGCCACCACAGGCACATGCATGATTGTCTATACAGACACATCACCTGCAGTTCAAAATTTCAAGCTTGAGTCAGAACTGAACCCTGGCAGTTTGTAGCAGAGCTTTGCTGGTTCTTGAGCCATTCTCTCCCGTGAAGAATTATTCTCAGCGCTTCTGTGTGTTAATTGTTCCTGCCAGGATCCAGGATGAGTTTTGGCCTTCCGATACTCCTACGGCAGATGAAATACCTGCTTCAGCTGATCCTTTAATCGCTCCTCCGTGACCCCGAGGGCTCTCATGCCCCTCGCTCGGCAGGCTGCTTGCAGCTCTTTCACCGTCAGGCTGTCCGCGCCCTCCTCAGTGATCAGCTAGAGAGGGCGAAAGATGAACAGCTACAGTGCATAGAAACTCATTCTCCAAATAGTCAGAAGGAATTGTTATAATAAATAGCTCCATTCATTTGTAACAATGGGTCGCAACCATTCTCCGCTTGAGCCCCCCTTCCCCACCACATACATCGTGATTCTAAAATTAATTTTCTTTCCCACAACACAGTTTCTTTAAATAAACTGTAGAGAAAAAAGACCCCCTTACTTTATCGTCTGCTTTGATACTCCTCAGCCTCATAATTAGCTGGAAGCGAAGGAAGTTGTTTGTTCCGATTGACTGAAGTTCTAAAAGTTTACACAGAGCAACCAGCTGGGGCCGTGTGAGGTTGTCCAGGGTCAGCTCGTCCTCAAACAGTTTAGAAAACCGTAAAATCTCTTCGTTGCTCGGCCTCTCACCAGTCTCGCGTATCTGAAATTAGAAATGGTACGCTATAAAGTCTTCAGACGCTCCCTGGAACTCTTTCCTCAGAAAGACAAGGATTTACTCCGAGAAATGTTAACTATTGTATATCAGGCGTGTCTATTATTCTCTGCTTGGAAACCTAGTGATAAAAATGTGACAACATAATTTAAATTTTCGAGACAAATTAAGTACCTTTTGAAAGAAGGTTGAGAAATCCTTGGTGGCATTCCCTTTAGCCGCTTTGTTTTTTAAGGCAATCTCTTCGATAGTATCTTGAAGAAATTTAGCCACCTCAAGCTTTACTCTCAGTTCTTTCTTCAACCTCTCTTCCTAATAAGGGGGAAAAAGCATTTTAATAGAAAACTGCTCTAGGTGTAAATTTATTTCCTGTTATATCCGCTTTGGACACTATTAAATATCGGAGGAATACACTATTTATCAGCATTCTTATGAAGCTCTTCTAGTTATTGGGAACCAAGTCCAGCTAAACGAAATGGGTTTATTCCCGATTAAGCCTGCAAGCCTGCAGCTTTGCATATGATTATCTAAATGAATTGAACTGCTTCATCAAGGTATTTTCTGAGTCCTCTGGCTAAACATTAGTTCTTTCGCATTTGGATTTAAGGCCCTTCGCATGTGGGTTTTCTGAAGCCAACTTCCCTAGGTCTTGGCCGAAGTGAAGGACACGCCAATCCTTTATTCCGCGGTGCCCCTTTGAACAGTAAGCCCACTTTAACAAAAATGAACCCAGAGTTATGGGATGGGGGGGGTCTGCAGACAGCATGGGCCACCTAGCAGGGGGAAGGGGGTTGAAACACTTAGGACCACCTGTTCAGGTGTGCAGGTCAGCAGGAATTTTAACCAGGGATACGACCACTCTTTTCTACATTCCTACAAATACTTTCCGCTGTAACGGTTACCTTCTTGGAGTTGGTCTCAAATGTCGAAGGAAGCATATTGGGGAACAACTTCACAGCTACGGGGAGCAAGAATTCCATGAAGGGAACGACGACGAAGACGAGGAAAGGGACCAAGCGAAAGAGGTCGGCGCAGATCCGAAGGAACTGCAAAGAAAAAGAGAACGCTTGGGTTTATCGCAAAAGGAAAACGAAGGCAGGCCACCGGCTATTTCTTCGCATCTTGTAATTTCTTTAGTTCCAGTGTTTCATTTATTGGGTACCAGAACTGAACGTCGCAGGTGACCCTCTCTGAACATTAAAGTATCTCCAAGGGCTTGTTAATATTTTAGTTCCTCCTTGGTGTCCCTCCCAAGAAGAGTGCTGTGGGCAGTATTACCTGCCTGCGCTCCCGGCGGGTCATGGAGCTGCCGTGAAGAATCTGCCAGAGCATTCTGGCGGCAATTTTGGAATCGATCCACAACAACCGGAAGCCGTGGTAGTAATGCTTCACCTCATCGACAATCTTCTGCCCAATGGATTTTTTAACGACGGTTTCTTCCACCACTGGACTATAAACGGGGCCCCCTTCTTCCAACTTCTTGCTTTTGTCTTTCAGGGACTTCAGGGATTTTTCTACGACAGAGTCATCGTATCTGGATGCTGAAGAATGCCAGTTCCTTACTGTAACCAAACAAGGCCCCGAAACTCCCCTGTGGGGAGAGGGCCACTGGGAGTCAAACGCTCTCAGGGCCGCCCCCTGCCCTCTTTCTGATCCTTTTGTCCAAGCGTAGCTATCTTTTGTACAATAAACGTAAGGTGAAATATTAGTGCAATATTTAAAACAGGCAGGCCTGTAAGAGAAAAAGCAGGTTTTAATATCAATAGTCTATGTTATACTTTTCATCCCATTTAGTTCTACAGTGGCCATAAGTTAAGTGGGCCCACCAGAAGCTAACTGCATGTTTGAGAATCTTCCCTTTGTTCTCCACAAATGGAAGCCTCTTTCCTCACTAGGAGACTCTCTCATCCTGGGAAAACAGGACGGACGGACTCTTTGCAGATCATCTGGCAAGTTCTCCACGACATTCTGACCGGCTAGTTAAGTGGGGGCTCCAAAATAAGTGGATACATAGTTGACCCCAAAATCTCTGTCAAGGAGTGCCGATCAGGGGTTCCTCACCAAACGTGAAGAGAGGGTATCCCAAGTTTCAGTCCTGATAGAAGTGCTATTCAACAGAGGTATTAATGGCTTGGCTGAAGAGGGGAAGAAACATTCAGGCAGAAGCTGTCAACTGCTGAGGATGCCTTCGTTTACATGTTTACCCTGCAATCTATTGGCTGGACTGGACCCAAGCCTCAGTCCAACTCTATGATTCAGTCACACAAAGCACGCATATAATTAGATGTTCCTAAGCATACACACCGCTGATGCACAACTGAGTCTGTGAAAACGCAAAGCGCCATGATAAAGGGGAAGAAATGAAGAACCGAAAGGGAAAATGCTTAAGGGTTAGAAATCCTGAGTTTACTGCTTCGACATTCAAGCAGAAAAGCAAGAGGCTACACCAAAACCCTGAAGAAAAAGTGTTTGGTGAGAAAGTCCCACAAAAACTAAAAATTGCCCTAAGCAAATGGCACCTTAGCTGCTTTGCCTGGGTTCAAGGACAAAGGAAGACAAACATGTCCAAAATACCTTCCCTCCTCCTATTTTCCCCACAAAAACGACGCTGTAAGGTGGTTGGGCTGAGAGAGGAACTGTCCCAAAGTCACCCAGCCGGCCTTCATGCCTAAGGCAGAATTTGAACTCACAGCCTCACACTTTCTAGCCTGGCACCACTAAATGGATCTAGTTAGGCTACTTAACTAGAGTTCCTTAAGTTATACTTAAGAGAGGAGACCCACAAGGAACCCCTTACCTATAAGGCTAGTCTGGGGGAGCAAAACCCCTCTCCACAGAGCTGGAGAAGGAACTTCTGCTTGGTGCAATTGTCAGGGATTCAGGGTAACTTGAGCACAGGGCTGCAGGATCCCCCAGGAACAAAGGCCGGCTCACTTAAGGCCCTCCCTTTGAAAGGAGATGCCCCCGTCAGGGATGGTCGCAACGACAGCCTCTTGCCCAGCCGAAATGGGAGGCTGGGGCGAAGGAAGCCCCCTGGCAGAAGGAGAGGTGGCTTGGGAGTAGCCGGGCTAAAAGGGAGGCCGGTGTTGACTGGGCTTCTCTGCTCCGGGGGCTGCCAAAGAGGGGAGAGAAGGAGGGGGACCCAATTTCTGAGGAGCAGCAGCAGCAGCAGCAGTGGAGGAAGCATTTCCCATCTGGACAAGAAAAGCCATGCAGGCGATGGAAGAAGCAGCAGAAATCCCAGAGGACCCTGGGCAGCCCAGAGACACCCCCCCCCCCCCGAGTCGAGTGAGCCAAGAGAGTCCAGGGGGGGAGCAGAGCCAGGCGAGGGAGCTGCCCTCTTCTCACTGGTTCTTTGTGACGTGACTCAATTCTTTCCTGGCATTTTCTCTCGTCTCTTGGAAGAACATTTCTGGGATTTCCCACTAATCTATAATTGCCTCTTATGAGGCTACAGGCAGGGGGGGGGGGATAATTTTAGGACTGGGCTTGGGATTATTATTATTTTTTTTTTAAATAGAACATTGAGCCCGTGGCTTTTGTTGGCAGGCATGGGAATCAGCGGGAGAGAGAGAAAATAGGGAGGACAAGATCAGGAGCAGGGAGTCCTCAACTTACAACAGTTTGCTTAGTGACTGTTCAAAGTTACGACACTGAAAAATGGGACTTATGACCGTTTTTCACAGCTACAACTTTTGCAACATCCTCATGGTCAGGGGATCAAAATTCGGCCCTTGGCAACAACTAGTTCATATTCATGACGGTCGCAGTGTCCCAGAGTCATGGGATCCCCTTTTGCCATCTTTTGACACGCAAAGTCAATGGGGAAGCCAGGTTCACTTAACAACCATGTTACTATCTTAACAACTGCAGTGATTCACTTAACAACTGTGGCACAAAAGGTTGTAAAATAGGGCAAAACTTATTTAATCCAAGTCTCCCTTAATAACAGAAAATTTGGCCTAAAATGTAGTCATAAGTTGAGGACTACCTGTATGGCCTTTGTATGGCAATTCAAAGGCACAAGCACCCATAATTGTAAAACATCCCAGGGTCTCTCTTTATTGGCTGTGATGAAAGCTTTTTTTTTTGGGGGGGGGGGGGAGAAATTCTAATATAATTTATGCACAATTCTTTTCATTAAATAACTAGATGGCTTACATTTGATGTATGGGCAGAAAGACAGCATATAAATATGTGCATTTATATTGCACCCATTTTTAAATTTTCTGTCTACACAAGTCTATTACTTCACTATTAAATCTCCACCTACTCCTAGCTACTAGCCAGATAATTTGCATGGAAGAAACCTATAGATTTCTATATTCTATGGAAATCCTTCTCCTCTATTAAAAAATAATTGTTTTCTGTTGTAGTAAACTATCCTATAACTATGTGATCTTACATGTACACTTAGGATACACTGATCATCACCATTCCTAAACGAGATTAACTCCAACGGCTTATTTGAAATTATTATTTTTTCTTTGAACAAACCTTTTTAAAATATTCTTAAATGCACACTGGGAAAATGAAGATGCATAAATCTTACAGAATAATCGCTTTAATACCTATTCATTATATTTTATTGTGGTTTGTCATTAACATCCGATATAAACCTCTGATCTCTATATAATGGCTTTATCTTATAATATTTCTGTTATAGATAGTACAAGCAGGATAATAAATATTTTCTACTGAAAATAAACACATAGCTTTCTGTAAATGCCCTTGCCTGTAATTCTATAATCTTCCAAACAATTGATCATTATTTCCATCCTTCCTATCCTCTGGGAGAGGGAAAATCAGCTTGTCACTCTCGGATACTACTAGGCAAAGTACTAATAATCCTTTAGGCCACCAATACCTCTGTAGGCCATGTGGCTAAGATGATGACAGTCTGAAGTTGCAAATATATAGAGGACCACACTTTCATTTCCTGTGTATGTGATGGCAAAATTGCTTTACCATATTTTTTTTCTGGATTGGACTTTTGGAAGCACATTTCAAAATTATTCTGCTTCTTGCTTTGCACTACACGTTAAGAAATACTTAAAACAGTAACAACTTTATGGTTCAAATTTAAACCTGTCTGTACTAAGACAAAATAGACTAACAATCTTAAGGCAGGCATGTTATTTACCCAAAATATGTCCACACCCCTTAGGAAAAGATGAGCAAAATCCTGTGCAGTGCCTGGCTTCCCTCCTTATCAACCTAAGGTGAAATCCAGCTGAGACCAGAGTTCCTCCCTCTGGAATAAATGTGGACACATCTCCCACATCATCTGTGTGAGCATATGAACATCTGCATTTTGCCAGAAATTATATTCCATCAAAGTCAATACAAAATCCCTTAGTTAAGCACTACTGACTAAACCGTACTGCCTATAAAATAAGTTATCTTCCATCTTAATAAGAAACATTGTCGATATAGGCACACCCCATTCAATAACCAACACAAACAATGAAATAAAAATAATGGAGATGAACGAGAAGACTTAACAGAGAAGACTCCACTGAGAAGGGAGGAAACAGAACTGGATGAATCTGGGAAGTTGCAAGTGAACAGAAATGGAGAAGAAATTAAAGAGAAAAGCCAATTTCCGTACTGTAAAAAGGTAAAGGAGCCACACAAGCATCACCAAAGGCTAAACTTTAAGCCACACCTCAAAGAATGTTTCAGTCTTTTGTAATTACAAACATGTATATATCCAACTATTTAAATAAAAAAATAAAAAAATAATGTATATATCCAACTATTTATAAGACACAGGTAGTTTTCAGATGCATCCTCCATTCTGTCAAATGTCCAAATAAGCAGGTTACTCGTAATAGTGTTACAAAGATTCGTACTTACAAGTCTTTTATTAGCCTCATGGAGGAACAGTTAAGACAAGCAAGGTTCTCCAAGTGACCTACAAGTGGGGAAAAAGCAGTCTGGGTAGGCAGGCCATCCAGAAATAGATAAGAACATTACACTTACCAGTCTGATATCAAAACAACTTTCACATCCACACACTATTCAATACTTCAGGAAGAAATAATGCCAGTTAAGATCAAGAACCTGTAATGGATTTTGTTAGAACTCACAGCGGCAGAGATTACAGGCAGTCCTCGACTTACAACCACAATTGAGCCCACATTTTTTGTCGCTAAGCAAGACATTTGTTAACTGAATTTTGCCCCATTTTACAACCTTTCTTTACACAGTTGTTAAGTGAATCACTGCAGTTGTTAAGTTGGTAAGAGGGTTGTTCAGTGAATTTGACTTCTGCATTGACTTCGCTTGTCAGGTGGTCATAAATGAGTCAGTGGCCAAGCATCTGAATTTTGATCAGGTGATCATGGGGACGCTGCAAGTGTGAAAAATGGTCATCAGTCGATATTTTTGAATGCCTTTGTAACTTCGAAGAGTCATTAAACGAACTGTTATAAGTCAAGGACTCCCTGTACTTAAATTATAAAAATTTCAGAGCTGAGCCTGATGAATAATTTTTTTTAAAAAAATCAGATTTACAGAGTTGGAAGGGACCTTGGAGGTCTTCTAGTCCAGCCCCCTGCCCAAGCAGGAGACCCTGCACCCTTTCTGACAGACGCCAGCCCAGCCTCTTCTTGAAAGCCTCCAGTGATGAAGCTCCACCAACTTCTNGGTTTTGACGGGTCACGCTACCCCCAAGCATTGTGTTGAAGGCTTTAGCAACCCAAAAAAGCTCTGAGGAGGGTGAGAGATTAAATCCTATGAAGAGACATTGAAGCGGTTGGTTGGGCCTGTTCAATGGGGATATTATTATGGGACTCTTCCTAGACCAGAAAAGACGTTGGAAGAAGTTGGTCAGAACTGTTATTGTTGGAGAGTGTAGGACATCAAGACCTGCTTTGAAGTTATGGGAGAGCAGATTTCAGTGGAATAAGGTGGAACGCCTGGCTTCAGTTATGGAACCAACTTTGCAAGAGAGATGTTGGCCTCCATTTTTCTTGGATGTATGCAGATCCTGGATGGCCATTTAGGTGGGACGCTTGAGTTTGGATTCTGCAACTCTTGAAGTGAGTTGGCTTCGATGGCCATTCTGGAAACTTAACAAAAAAAACCCCATCAGCTTAGTTTTAACTAGACGACCTCTGGCCGCTCGGCTTACGGTTTCAGAGATGCTTCTGTACCAGATTCCTCAACCGCTTCAAACAATAACAGGGCTTCTGATTTCCGGCCTTGGAAGATTCGAAGAGGAATCTTGGCTTGTAAGGAAGCCCATGTTGGTCTGTAAAGCGTAGTCAGACATCAGCGCAGGAAATGTTTTTATGGTGACATTTTGTATTATGATCTTGAACTGTTTTATGGTAACGTTTATATTATAACTTGTCTTATAAAACCAGCCAGATTTCCGTTTCACGGGAGTTTTGGGGTCCCAGATATTGGACCCATTCTGAAAGTCAAGCCCTTTGAGGCCCCTTGATTCAAAGCGTTTTGCCCCGGGGTGCCCGGTTCTGCCTAGGGAAGCTTACGGGAAGGGAAGTGTCAGCAGCCCCTGGATAAGCTACCATCAACAACAAGAGTCGTCGTTGTAATTAGATCCAGGTAACTTAGAACCTCCAATTAAAATCACAGCAAACCCACCATAATTGCACGTTGCATTGTTCCTTAAAACGGTTTAGATTAACGTTTCATGACTTAATTCTCCAGTCAACATGGCCGTAACTCAGACGTCCGGGGTATATCCGCCTATCCGGTAGCTGCAACAATTAGAAAACAGCTTTATATTTTACATTTCAGCTTCCCATCCTTAAAGGGCAACCGCAGAGCACCAATTCCTGAGTTTCAGACGAAAAATTGCATTGCAGATGAACTTCAATTTTGGGGGGGGTTTCGCTTGCAGTCAAAGGAGACACTGATCTTTTATAAATAAAAGAGATCTGAGGAGGTGGTCCTCTGCGCGCCGAATGAATGGGATAATTGTTAGCGATGTGGTATTCTTTGAAACGGACTCAACCTTCTGTCGAGCTACCAAATTCAACGGGAGCCTTTTCACAATTTTTTTTTTTTTAAAAATTCAGTTCAGCTTCCATGGTTTTCAGTCCTGAACTTACAATAATGTACAACTAAATCGAAAAATGAGCGATTTCATTTGTGAAGTTGGGCTTACCACATTATTATAGCAAATCTCTCTGCCCGTTTTTATTTGGCTAATTTAGACGCTACTAAATTAAACTCTAAAGCTAAATCCTAAGCTTTGGTTTCTTGGGAGTTCCCATCTTCTCTATTACGTTTGCAGGGCCTTTGGCTGCGACAGCCCAAGTTTTAGGCAGTCAGATCAACAATTGCTTTTTGATGGAGGGGCTGGCATTTTGTAGGGAGGGGGGGTCCCCTCTCTGGCTGGGCCTTTTTGTGCGTTTCTGGGACTTAGGATGTTTTCTGTGAGTTTCTTGTTTTAATGCTAGATCATTGCACCAGTGGTTTTCAGCCATCAGATTTGCATAACGTACTCCAAATTTGCTTTCCATATATATTCCATACATGTTCCAAATATTTGGAATATTTGGCATTCCAAAAGAGCTGTGGAATCCTGTAAGAGGCTTCTGGGGGTACAAGTTGCCCTCTTGTGATTTATGACAAGGATCAACCTGGTTCCGTGATGAGGACAGGAGAACCCTGGGATCCATCCTGAGTTGTTGAATGGAAGTTCAGAAGTTTGATCCTGAAAGGAGGGGTTGGCTCATTTTATCCCCATCTGAACTTACCCACAGGTGTATTTAAAAAAACAACAACATTGGAAGCTTGGAACTTTATTAAAATAAGACCTTTCTATGGGAAGTAATCGATCAAAAGTAAAGCTGTATTTTTAAACTGGGGGGGTGAGCTTGATTTATTGTGCAGCTGAAAGATAAATGTTTAAATCGTTTCCTAACTTGTACTTAGTTAGATCAACCTTAATTACTATAAAAAATACTACAGAGTGCAAGCCTGGGTGTCAAGATAGGTCAAGATTTTCATCCTGCATGCAGCTGTTGCAGCTCAGCCAAACAATATAATTTCATATTATGTCCTGTTGGTAAAGGAGAGATACAAAATGATCCCTATACATAGACATCACACACCGAGATAACATCACAGTGGCTAGGATTATTTTTTTCCTTAGTTTGCATTTTGTCCACATACTTCCAATTAAAGGGCAATTCTGCTGCCTTGATCATGTTTCTGATGATAATGGTGGGTAATTCACCTGGGAAGAGCGTTTGGGGGGCATTTGCAGGTTCAGAAAAGTTTTCCTATCTCTGTCATTTAAGCTTGTGGCCCTGGGCATGTCTGAACATCGTTGGGATGCTTGCAAGCCTTCCCTTCCGCTTGGGCTCCCTGCCGTACATGCTTAGCGGAGTGTGTCGCTCTGGATGTGAGCACATCCGTACCCAACCCTCTCCTTGTCCGCATACCCCCCTTCGCTCTCCATGGATGCTCCTGCTTGTCCAGGGCCCCGTTTACTGCTTCGACCCGTGGCGTCCTTTGACTCCACCCAACAAGCCATGGGGGGAGGGGGAACCGTTGGCCAACTCTCCTCTTCAGCATGGCCACCATCTGATGACCNTGGCCGCGTCCCTGGGCGGAGGAGCTGCATGCCGGGCGCCCTTCCCGCGGATCCCCGCGTGGCTCTCCATGCCCGGCTCCCTTCTTTCCCCCGCGGGGATCCGCCCGCCCCCTCCGCCTGCGGGCTCGCCTTTCGCGCTTCCCGGCGTTCCCGGAGCGGGGCGCGCGTGGAGGAGGCGGCCGGGTTCGAGCGAGGGATCCGGAGGGGCGCGAGAGCTGCGCGCCTTTGTATGGATGGGGCTGAGCGGGGCGGCCGCTGGGTCGAAATGCCCTCCCGGACCCCTCCCCGCTGCGCCCCCAGCGGCCCCTCGGCCGGCCTCGCCGGGGCAGAAGCTTAAAGGAAAGGGGGGAGCGGCGTCTCTTGCAGCCCAGTCGGAGGGGGGCCCCGGGCGGCGTTGAGCCCCAAAGGAAGCGCCCGCCGCTCCTCCTGCAGCCCGTGGCCCTTGGACCGCAAGGGCGCCTCCTCCGGGCGGCTCTCCGGAACCGGCCACCCAGGGCGCAGCCAGCATCCCTTGGAGGCTTCGCGGGGGGCGGAGGGGGAGGCAGCTGCTTTAAAGAGGGGGCTCCGGAGCTCCCGTCTTGCTGGTCTCGGGGCTGCTTTGTGCAGGAGGGCAGCAGACCCCCAAGTCTCCCCTCCCCTCCCCGGGGCAGGAAGGGGGCCTGGCGGTCCCTGGGGGCTCCCAAACGACCCCAAAGCTCTCCAAATAAAGATGTCCGTGGATGTGACAGCAGGCCTGGGATTCTCTTGGCCCCCTTTGCATCCCCGGGAAACGCCGTCCGGTTTTTCCCGGTGCTGGGAGGGTCCTTGAGCCCAGCCCCTCCCCCCCTTTCCCCTTTGTGAATTAACAGGTGTGACCCCCCCCCCCCGAGCCCATGTGGCTGATGCAGCCTTTGTTTATTGATTGATGCGCCTCCAACCTGTGGCCAATGGCTTTAAGGGCCCATAAAAGTTTCAGAAATATCTCACAGGGGTCTTTTTGTTCTCTTCAAGTGGGGGGGGGGGTCCCCCAGCAGCCATCAGAACAGTTTCTCTCCTCCAGTTGGTCCTGTAAGGAGGCTGACAAAGGATCCTCAGCAGCTTTTCCCCCCCCCCAGGAACTCGGTTTATTGGTCCGGTTTTGGCCATTAACTTACTTACAAATTTTTATTAAATGGATGCCTTTTTTTGTTCTAAGCATCAAAATTGGATTTCTCGCATCACTTTTGATAAACATTAAATCTGTGCTAATTTTAAAAAAATAGGAATTAATCTCTGCTACTCAGCAAAACAAGGGGACATTTATGCTTATTTATTAAATGCCTCTACTTCCCTTCTCCCCAGTAAGGTGAGTTTTTCTGGAGGGATTGTTTGTGAAATCAAGATGCTTTAAGAGTTAACTTTGGGGACTGGATCCCTTGAGCAGCAGCGTTTTTTTTTTAGGTTTTTGGGAATTCCTGAAAAAATATACGTTACTTTAATTAGTGGCTTGGTCTCGGCACACAGACACAAGGTTCAATTCACATCTCATGAATCATTTAAGCGCATACAGTTCTCCATGCACTCATCCAAATTATTAATTAAAAAATGGTGCAGGACAGCATAAAAGCCCATCGCAGAATTGTGTGGCTCTGTAATTTGATGGTACTTCAGTTTCACAGGGATTGCTGATCGCGTGTATTATAAATTGACTATATAAGTCCTTTAAATTATACTAGCCAGCAATCTGCTAAGGAATCAAGAAATCAGGTTGTCCTCAAAAGATTTGTTTCTGACTAACCCTTCCTGGTTACTAACAATTACGGCGTGGTTTTCAAGCTGTTACAGATTAATTTCTTTTAGGATCTGCAGATCATCAAGTTTCTTTAATATTCTAGCCCAGTGTTTCTCAACTTTGGAGGCTTTAAGATGGGCGGACTTCAGCTCCCAGAATTCCCCAGCCATACCACAATTGGCGGGGGGATTCTGGGAGTTGAAGTCCACCTATCTTAAAGTCGCCAAGGTTTACAGTTTATCTGATCCTAGAGATTTAGCAAGTAAATGGGTATTTCCTGATTGTGTTTCCCTAAACAAGGCCGAGTTTTTAATCTTGATTCTTCTTCTATTTATGCAACTCTTTCTCCCAACATTCCTGCTGTTCCCATTTCCCCATCTTAGGTGTCCCTAAAGCTGAGTCTTGTATATCGCTCTGCTCTCTGAAGGAGAGATTTTCAAGCGAGATAAATTGGGAATTTCCTGGGAGGAATTTGGGGTCCCTGAGGAGGTCAAGATAATCCATTTCTTCCACCGGTGCTTCTTACAAAGAATAGACACCAACAACTCCATAGGAAGCCCTCCGCTCA